CATCCCCCCGGTGCTGCTGGGGGCCGTGGGGGCATCCACGGGTGAGAGCGCCTTGAAACCTTAGGATGCATAGACGGGCTGTGGCAACGAGGCACACATCAGTTCTACTGTTTGTCCGTATAAAGTTGGGAAGGTCTGTATGGGTCACTGCATATGTCTGTGTAAAAGGGGCAAAGGTGAGTGTCAAAGGGTCTGCTGTATGTCAGTGTGAATGGTTATTATTTCAGTGTTTTCTGTGAAAGGAAAGGCGTACACGTTAGGATTAGAAATCAGTGTGAAAGGTGTATCGTTTGTGTGAACGTGATATATCACTGTGCAAATGTTATATTTCAGTGTGAAAGTGTTATAGGTCAGTGTAAGAATGAAAGGAGTTTGTGTGAAAGGGGCACATTGGTCATCATGAAAGGTCTATGTCTGTGGAAATGTTTTATACCAGCGATTCTCAACCATGATTGAGCCAAGGCACCTATTTGAAATTTGAAAAATTTCAAATGAAGTACTTACTGCCGTCTCATAGAAGAACACTTCTTTGTTCCGTCTTTCACCATAAGCTGCAGGCATAGATAGATGGACAAAGATACATTATTTGTGAAGAATAATTAATTTTCTGACCGTTTTATCGAATGAAATGAGTTCCCACAAATCACTGGTTTGTTTTTACTCTGTGTGGGTATGTCAGTGTGAAAGGGGTTTTCGGTGAGTGGCAAAGGTTTAAAAAGCACAAGATGTCAGGGTGAAAGTTTAGCTATCAGTATGAAAACGGTATACAGTAGGTCAGTGTGGAAGGAGAGTATTGTCAAGTGTACAAGGGGCAATACGTTGCAGTGGAAAGGATAACTCTAGCTTAGAATGTTACGTTCAAGTGAAAGGCATTCAGCTTTGCGTGAAAGGGGAATTGTAAGGTTCATGTTGGTATGAAGTGCAGCAGTCCATTTGCCTGACTTGCGTTCATGCAGCATGGGATCGGTTCCTACTTCCCATTTAGTGACTGTGTGAAAGAAGTTATGGATGTTTTTTTGTCTCCATATGTGCCCTGTCACTGACTGGCGACCAGTTTCGGGTGTCGTCCACCTTTCACCCATAGTCAGCGAGATTAGGCTGTCCTGTTCAGGATAAGCGCTGTTGAAACGGATAGAAGGACCACTGAGGTTGAAAGTGAGGTGCCGTTTGACAGGCCGGTGCACGTTTTGTCTTCAGACTGGAACGCGACATCATACGGTTCTCCGTCCCCTTTTGAACGTGACGAGGCGGCGCTGGTTCTTCCCCTGGTGCTGCAGACCCTGACGCCGTCGTACGTCTCCATCATGGGCATCGGGTGCGTCGCCGCCGCCGTCATGTCGTCGGCCGACTCCGCCCTGCTGTCTGCCGCCTCCGTCTTCACCGCCAACCTCTACAACAACATCCTCAGGCCGCAGGTGCGAAAGCCGCAAAAGTCAGTATGAAAGGGCTTTGTGTCGGAACGAATGGTGATAACGTGTGTGGGAAAGGGGTACACCATACTGAAGTGGAAGCGGTAAATTTGTGGTCTGGCAGGCGTCGGAGCGTGAGCTGCAGTTGGCCATCCGGGCGACAGTGGTGGTTGTGGGCGTGGTCGGGACGGCGCTGACCCGCCTGAAGACCAGCGTGATCCTCTTCTGGTTCGCGGGTGCCGAGATTGCCTACAACGTGGTTTTCCCGCAGCTGCTCTGTGCTGTCTTCTTTCCCGGCACCAACATGTACGGCGCCATCCTGGGCGGTGTGGCGGGCTTGGCGGTGCGCACGTTGAGCGGTGAGCCCCTGCTGGCCCTTCCGCCTGTGTTGCGCTTCCCGGGCGGCATCTGGGACCACCGTGCTGGCGTCTACGTGCAGTACTTCCCCGTCAAAACCTTCGCCATGCTCTGCTCTCTGGCTTCCATCTTGTTCTTCTCCTTCCTGGCATCCCGGATCTTCCGCCTGCTTCCTGCTGCCTGGGACATTTTGCACGTTTTCCAGAAGCCCACCCCCACCCTCACCCAGGAAACTGCGTGCGCAGAGAACACCCCCGACGCCGCCGGGCCCATGTTGACCACTGACTGCTGAGTCAGACGACTCCAAATTAAATTGATTTTCTTGCCAACACACACACACACACACACACACACACACACACACGACATCTCGCGGTGCCATTGATGCTCACCCATTGCTAAATCAATAAACAGGAAATGCTTGCAATCCAATCGCCTTTATTGACAACATTCATGAACACACACTGCGCCTTTGCAACTTGCTCCCAACGTCTCACGTCCATTTGTTAAGCAGAGATCAAATCAAGAAACCATGCTAATATGCGACATCGGCCTGTGATGTCATCATCAGGGGACGCACGCTGTCCACATAGTTCAGGGGTGGGCAAACTTTTGTGCCGTGTTTGTTTTTTAAACAGACAAGCCAGCTCCCCTATTCATAGATTCCATTTTTCTGTCTTAGTTGAAATGTGGATGTAAAACATCGAGAAGAGAAAATTTGGAAACAATGACATTGTGTGTCCTTTTTAAATCAGTAAATTAAGTCAGCAATGATTGTATGTATGAACCCAACAGGAGGCACTTTTTTTGCCACGTTTCATCTTTTTTTGACATGAAAGTAAAATATGTCGAATTGGTTTTAAGAATAAAATGTCATTTTATGTTCAGTTCGGAAACGAAGTGTTCAACTGAATGCAAGCAAACAATTTTGATCGTCTTTATTAAATTAAATAAATAAACCACTTATTTACTTAGACAAATGACTTCAAAATCAATAAATAGTCGCCCGTTGTCCAATCCCTGCCTGTTCAAAAACATTTCCAAAAAGTTTCTACAAGTCCTCACTGTTCGTTTATCACGTCTGCATTGGATGCCACGACGGGATCTCTCTTTACGTACTCTATATCCTTTTTATTTCATCTGTCTCCCATCCATCATTGTTATAAGATAAATAATAGAAAAACAAAAAAGAAAACATGCTAATGCTGCTCACTAAGATGTCTGCCTGTGATGTCATCATCAGGGGACACAGGGTAGTTCCAAGTTGATTAAAACATCAATAAAGTGAGTACAAGCTGTCACCGGCCGTCAATCATCAACAAGAGGAAGAGAAGGAAAAAGGAAAACAGGAAAAAAATTGAGGAAGCGTCGCCGACGTGAAGAAAAACTCCCAAATGTCGTCCAGCAACATTTGACCGTAGTGTCGCGCAGTCGCTTTTTCACAAAGTTGACATCGAAGCAGCGACGTCAACAATCAGCCACAGGGAGGACACCCCAAAAACATGTGACGACATCATCGGTGTCACATAATCTTCTCATTAAGCTCCGCCCTCTCCTCGCTGAAGTTGAACAGGAGGCTCTTGGCGCCGTTCTGCCACGCGTACAGCGTCTCCATCGGCGTCTTTCCATCCTGTTGCGCACAAGGGTACGTCAGCTTGACGACGCTCATGTATGTGGGCATGTGATACGTCCAAGGACACGTGCGACACATTTAAGAACATCTGCGACACCAACAAGGAGATGCGCCACATACCAGGACATGCGTCCCATGTGAGGAGACATGGGCAAAGACCCGAGCGTCACATCGAAGGACATGTGCCACAGATGAGAACACGCGTGTGAGGACATTCATGTGTGCGTGAGGTGCGTGCTTGTACTGACGCAGTTCTTGACGTTGAGACTGGCGCCGTACATCATGAGAAGCTTGATCATCTTGAAGCGGTTGATCCTCACCGCGTCGTGCATGCAAGTGTCGCCATCCTAACCCGCCAAAAAAAGACGGCCACGGTCACCACAAAATGGAGCCCGGAACTAGAATCTTCTCTCAGGACTAATACAAAGAACTAGAACTTAGCTTGCGACTGGAACTTTCACTTGGGACTTGTACATTCACTCGGGACTCGAACTTTTATGTGGTTGTGTCGGGCCTTGCGCGTGTGCTCACCCTGTCTTTGGCGTTGATGTCTGCGCCGCAGTGGATGAGGTACTCGGCACACTCGACGTGTCCCGTCCTGACGGCCACGTGCAGAGGGCAACTGTGCAGCTGCGCAAGACAGAGCAAAAGAGACTTTCACTGCAAGCGTCCGACGGCTACAGACAACCACAACAACAACAACTGTCTGCCATTTTTCATGCAGTAAAGCAGCCTCCTATAGAGAGTACCGCAAATCCTCAAAATTGCCCTTGGACTTGTTTTTTGTTTTTTGGTACTTTGACAGTATCTGAAATGCATGGCGCAACATGTCAAACACTTGAACAGAAATGGGACTTCTGTCAGCCAGCTTGCTTGTCCCTAGCACCTTGGCTTTTGATTCATAGGGGGTGTTATATTTTCCTACATGCTCATTTAAAAAACGACATACAGTTAAAAAAAAAAAAAAAAAGACAATCTCTCATTAAAGGGTGCTGAGATTCAATTGGGCTCGAAAAGTCGCCTTTGCTACTGCTCGTATTTGTTTGACTTGTTTGTCAACCTCATTTCTTAAATGTGTTTGTTGGCGCATCATTTGCTAGCCTCGGCTAGCGTGAAAGCAAATTCTGTGGAAAGTGAAGAAGTGAGAGGGCCACCTTGTCTCTGGCGCTGATCTTGGCGCCCCGCTGGAGGAGGAGCTGAAGGGCGGCAAGGCTTCCGCCTCTGCAGGCCCAGTGGACCGCCGTCGACTCCAGCTGACACATGCGCAGCCAGTCACACACAAATGCACACAGGCACGCACACACACACACACGCACACATGACCCCGTAAGTGATCAGCATTTCCTTCCCGTGGTATTGCATAGTTATCAATGGCCGCCGGTCTCACTTTGTCCTGCCTTTCGATGGCGGCGCCAGCGTCCAGCAGTGCAGTCATGATCTCTACGTGACCTTTGAAGGAGGCCATGTGCAGGCCGGTCCTCTGGAACTGAGCACAAACACAACGTCATCACTCAGTGGCCAGTCAGAGCAGCCAGTAAAGAAATGTCGCCAGGAAGGGCTTCCTCAAAAGTTTAATCTTATTTATATATATATATATATATATATATATATTATTGTAAGCCATGATGTGCACAGTTTGACCACAACACTGGAAGTTAAATAGAATTTGTGCGAGTATTTTTTTAAAACACAGTCCAAGGTTAAATGCTGATGTATTATGCACAGCTACAGGCTTCATTCTTAAGACGTTTACTCTTATTTCATTGTCAATGGCATTTGTATGTAATTGAGTGATTGGTTTGTGCACCACTAAAGGGAGCTCACATCGCACTTTGCGAATCACGCCTCGAGTTCTTCACATCATGATTTCAGGGTGGCAAAACTCACATGGTCGACGGCGTCGGGGTTTCCTCCCTCGTTCAGGTACTTGTGCACGACAGCCATCTTGTTCTCCACAGCGGCGGCAAAGAAGAGCGGCGCCTCCACCGTGTCGGGCTGAAAGGCATCGAGATGGCGTCACGCACGCCCACCGGCAGTGGCGGTGGAGCGCCTCGCTCCTCTTCCCTTGCGAGGGGGCAAAATTTTTTCTCACCAGCATTTCAGTGGACGGCGCCGACTTCTTCCTGAAGATGGAGGCCTTCCTTTGCCGCCTCTTCTTCCTCAGCTGAAGGATGTTGAACAGGTCATCCACCGTCTCCAGACGCAGACGTCCGCACTTGTCCAACTGTAACACAGTCACATTATTCGTCCACAGCCAGATTATTTCTACATTATTTCTATCTCTATTGATTTTTTAGGTTTAATTTATCTGGGTAAGGCATTTGAGCAACAGATTCTCACTTGCCAACAGCAGAATAACTATAAAGTAAGAAACAAACGAATAAATATTAGCATAACACTGTCGTAGCATTAGCATTCAGATGAGCAAATTAGATTAGCACTACCATTACAATTCGCACTAGTGTAGCATTATTATTAGCACAATGTTAGCATTACTGTAACAAGAGTATACCATTGTATTGAAATGAGTTCATATTTCATATCAAGATTAGGACTAAATGAGTCTTAGCATTAAACATTTCACCGCCTTTAATGTAGTGTTATCAATCATTAGCAAATCAATATTCTTTCAAACCATTTGCAGAGATATTATTAGCTTTGATTTGGCATGTCATTAGCACTCACATAATATTTGCATAAGGATTGGTATTGACATTAGCAATAGTCGAGCATTGGCATCGGATTTATTGCTGTATTATGATAGTAGCGTAGCATTAGCAAGAGCAGCATTAGATGATCTTATCAGATTTTTTTTTTAAATGTCCATCAATAATTGGCTTTTTAGGGTGATGTGCTCTTGTCACATGAAGTACTGTAGTATGCCTGAAGGGGCCGCCACAACGACATCAAACAATATTGTCACGTTGGCTCAAACAGTCCCACTCAAAAGCAATCAAAATCGACTGTCACCCACCACTCAGTATCAACGCTCGTAGAAGACACACAACAGACTGAGAGATGAACAGCGGACTGGTCGTCAGCCATTGCGAAGGGCAGATATCCACAAAAGTGGTGCATTGTCATGGTAACAGCGTGTGCGCGTACTCACGTTGAGGGCCACCGCGCTGACCTCGTCGTGCTCACCGCCGCTGTCGTCTTCCGACGAGTCGCCGGACAGCAGCTGGCAGCGTGAGCGGAGGTCGCCTCCATCATCTCGCTCCTGCCGACTGACCGACGTTTTGTACTCATACTCGCCGTCGCGGACACGGCCCTCGCTGACCTCTGACCTCTTGCCACTCACCTGGAATTTGGAAGAAAAGTGTCACTAATGTTTCTCTCTCTCTCTCTCTCTCTCTCTCTCTCTCTCTCTCTCTGTCTCTCTCTCTCTCTCTCTCTCTCTCTCTCTCTCTCTCACACACACACACACACACACACACACACACACACACACACACACACACACACACACACACACACTTGTGACTACACTGACCATTTCCTGGACGCTGCGCAGCCCCATGTTGTGCCCGACAGTATGTTCTTGGTGTGATGTGTCGGCATGGCCCCGTGTCTGTCTCTTATAGCTGACACCCAACTCGTTGTCCCCTGCCCCTCCCACCCCCCACCAAACCGACACAACAGACACACCCAACGCATGCCAGCCTGAGGTCTCACTCTGTAAGGAAATCCTCCTCCAGGCCACAAGATATCTCATAATATGTCTGCGTCTGTGCATGTTGATCCACGATACCCTCAAATGGAAGCCATTCACTTGATAACATATGCTAGCTTGATGGAGAGAAAACTGCAATATATATATCTATATATATATATAGATATATATATATAGATATATATATAGATATAGATATATCTATATATATATATCCCCCCGAACCGCATCTCTTCAAGATGGTTGTGGGCGTACTGTAGCCTATCCCAATCGTCTTCAGTCAGCAGGCGATGTACACCCTGAACTGGTTGCCAGCCAAGCCAGGGCACACATTGACGATCAACCATTTACATTCCAACCACACCTAGGGATAATCTAGAGCAAGGGTGTCAACCTCATTTTTTTATCGCGGGCCTCATTTTAGTTACAGTTTCCCTTGGACTCAAACCATATAAAGAAGTCAAGAATAACGGGTATTCACCGATTGTTTAATTGACTGTAATAAGGGGTTTCGTAACAATAACATGCTTACAGAATCACACTTATTTATTACAAATGAGAATTAGAAATTTCGTTTGAGATTTGAACAAGCATCATGAAAGTTGACATTTTTGATTTGCTTTCGCGGGCCACATAAAATGCTGTGGCGAGTCAGATCTGGCCCCGGGCCTTGTGTTTGACACCTGTGATCTAGAGTGTTCCAATAGCCTGCCATGTGTGTTTTTGAAATGTGGGAGGAAAACGGAGCACCCGGACAACACGTAAACTCCGGACAGGAAGGCAGTGCGAAGCAGACGTGCTAACCAGTCGGCCATCTTGCCACCAAGATGAGAGTGCATTGAATGGAACGGAATGGTTGCACCTTGCACAAAATGGATTGAGATGCATGTTGAATGGTCTTTCATCGGAGTGGTATTTCTTGAAAGGAGGGCCACATTTACAATGGTGACAAGCTCACTCATGTATATGTCAAATGACAACAAGAAACCGATTGCGTCATGTACCCTCCCGAAATGAGCCGTAATGGCATGGTCATCCCAGTGAATTGAACTGGACATCGTCCTTGAGTCATATCGCACCCCATGTATTGAGATAGAGAGCAAAGGGTCTTTGATTGGAGAGATGCACACCCTTCATATGGCAGACAGCGAGACGGACGGACACACAGACAGACAAAAGTTCCTGGAAAGTTGCTCTTTGTTGATTCGTGTGAGTGAGTCATCTTTGGCCTCCAGACATGTGACCTGTGCAATGTGATGGCGTCATCGGCGACAGACGGAAGAAATAGTCCGCCAGCCGCCGTCAGCCAATCAAACATCGGTTGACAGGTCGGCATGTTGGCCCTGTCAGACGCTTTTTTATGCTGAGTGAGTGGCAACTGGGCTGCCTGTTGTCGACCAAAAGAACAATTTCAACTTTCCGTGTGTCACAAATGAAATCAAGCCAGTTTCATTCCAACTTCTTAGTGTCCTCACGGAAAGCCAATTCAAGTGGGCTCCATTTCCCTTTGCTCATTTTCAAAAGTGAAACTTTGCATGTCAAAGTCGTTTCCTTTACTTTGGACGTGGTCGGATGCCCTTCACGCGTTCACTTTGTAGTCCGCCACTCTGATTTGAATCGGGACAGAAGGATGACTTCCTGTCAAGCAGCAGAACTTGGTGTGTGTTTTGTGTGCTTGTCAGGGCAGCGATTGGATGGAAAGCGGAGGCGGCCGCCAGAACAACGCGCTAAGACTCGTCCGGGAGTTGAAAGTGACCGACAGCAAATCCTCGCTTCCGTTTTGGACAATGTGGACAGCGTTCGCCCACCGTTGACACTCGCACGCCGAGCAGCTGCGGCCTTCGGACGCAAATAGAAGGTGAAAGTCTCCGGCGCGTTCACATGCGTGTACATGTGAAAAACTCACAGTAAGCTAGCCGGCCGCTATTCCGCGAAGTGAGAGCAGAGCAGAGTTGCATGTGGAATAGTCATCATACGAGTCGTACGCGTACATGTCAAATGCATCACGGGGGGGGGGGTGGCATGACGCTTCAAGTCATCGCCGACCTCAGGCAAGGACAGCTCATGATGAACACGAAGCGTTCTTTCTTGGTGAAAGTTGCGCTCTCACCAGTGGTCATTTCAAAACAGACATCAATGAATCCAGCGTGATGTGTGCAAGTGACATGTTGTGAGTGTCAGCGACATGCTAATAACCGTGCCACTGCTCCCCAAAGTACCCCCCCACCCCCTCGGTGAAGTCACTTAAGTCTGAGGTCAGCTGCACTGCTCATGAAACGCAAAGCCGGCGTGCAACATGTGTCGCGTGAGATGACTGCAAAAGGCTACCATGACTCCATTTTTGCATTCGACACGGCGGCCACCTTGGAAAGGGTCGGCGGCGGCATTCTTCCCCTGAACCTCCCCCCAAACCCCAACCCCGCCCTGGCGCTAATATTAGTCGCGATAATCCCTCAGTCCGAGCCAGCCGGGCCCCAGCGCCACCCGTGCAGGCCGTTCTGTGACATCCCAGGCGCATCGCTTCAACAGGCGATGATCTCATTCCACTCTTCATCTTGGAAGGTGGGATGCTGGGAACGATTTCTTTGCATCGAACAACCTCCTGTTCAAAGTCCAAGACCTGGAAAACGAGCAGGGGGCTCAAAGTTCTTTGACTTCAGGGGCCACATTCACCTCGATTTGATGTTGAGTGGGCTGAGCACACAGTATATATGAATATATGCACGTATGTCTGCACACACATACACGCACACTCTCACACAAGTCGCTGATGATGTAGTGGTCCACTCGGGATCAGTTCACACTCAGAGATGGTGTGGATGTCAGTATGAATGGTTATTTGTCTCTGTATGTGCTCTACGATGTGGGTCGTGTGGAATCGTTGAAGCCTGTCCCAGCTAATGTCACCAGTTAGTCGCAGAGCACATTTACACAAAGATAAGATAAGATAAGATAAGATAAGATAAGATAAGATAAGATAAGATAACCGTTATTTGTCCCACACTGGGGAAATTTGCAGTCTACAGCAGCAAAATTGGGGGGGAGAAAAAAATAGTGTTTCATTGCACAAAATAAATGTTTCAGAAAGAAAAAAAAATATATATATATATATATATACACACACACACAT